GATGCTTCGCATGCCCTTTTGGTGATAACGGAGGGTGTCTTTCAAGTTTTGCTGCATTATTACATGCACACGCTGTGTGGCGCAAGAAACGTAATAGCAAGATTGAAATCTCCATAAGTACGTGGGAAAAGTGGCTACCTAAGTACCATGCATTTTTTCAATTGATTTTCGATGGTCCTGCGAATTCAAAAATATCTTTTAGAAACTATGAACAAAATATGCCTTCTTTTAGTCAATTAATAGAAGATTACGCCTCATTTATATTTTATACTCATGGAAGGAGTATAGTACGGTTTGAAAAACGTTTTCCAATTGCCGAATAATTTGGAGCCTGATCATTCGTTGCATTAGCACTTTGTCATTTCATTCCACAACGTGCCTGCGTTCCGTGTAAAGAAAATCTTATATTTTCCTATGCCATTTAAAAGATATCATACAGAGTCCATGACATTTTGCAATGGATGGGGACGATGTTGTGCATTTCATAATGAGCTGCTGTCAACGGCCAGGTACGGTGCTATGTGAATGGACAGTGCGCAGTCTTAAAAAAATTTCACAATTAAAAACTTTTTGAAACTTACTTATACTCCTTCTTTGAGTATAAAATATAAAGAAGACGTAATTCGCTATTTATAGACTGATAGAAAGCGTATTTTGGTTATGGTTTCTAGAAGTTATATTTGAACTTGCAAGACCATCAAAAATCAATGGGAAAAATGCTTGCTACTTTCTAGCCATTTGACCAAGTACGGTTTCTACCGGAGATTGAAAAGCAGTGTATTCAAAAGCTGACATCTTACTGAGTCCGAAATGTTATACGACTATGCCACCAGATAATTAATATTAAAACGGCGACGAAGTAATCCTTCCTAATCAAAAACGCTTAACTTTTTGCCTCAATCAGATTATGGCTTTAGCAGTTTGATTCCGTATTATACTAATTTAGAAGGCATTTTTTATTCTGGCTACTCTCTTTAGCTCATTGAGATAATCTCATTTGCCAAACCATATTTGAGGAATCGGTATGCATCGCATGCCCTGTTAATGAGAACGGAAGGTCTCTTTCAGGGTTTGTTGCATAATTTCATGCGCACGCTGTGAAGCGTAAGAAAAGGAATGTCAAGATTGAACTCTGCATAAGAATCAAAGTTCAAATGTCCGTTGGCCTGTTAGTTTAACGGAGGCAAAGGACTATATCTTGGAAAGGCTTTCTTTGTGACCGCTTTATAAATAGAGCGTTGGAAAGTATCTGCATAAGCAGGCTGTATATTATGTACATTTCCAATTTTTGTAATTTTAGAGTGCCGAATATCCGGACCGGTTATTTGCGCACATCAAGCTATTAGTAGACTTTGAAATATGGGACTATTGTTAACAAGTATTGGCATACGGCACCAGGGAGCAGATGTTGCCCTCATAGAAACCTTATATCTTGCATGAAAGAGGACATTAGATCGTTAGAATAAGATAAGTACTCGTTTGAAAATAGTATGTCATTATGTGCACAGGGTGACAAAACAACGAAAGACGATAAGTTGGTGGTTTGCCTTTTAATTATTAGCATCCGGTTGGGTCCCTTCAGTCGATGCGCTAAACATGAGGCCTCACTTTGCCCCTTGTCAAACCGGACAGCGGCTGTTGTTTACTTACTCAGTTTCTGATGTTTACTTTATTTTAATCTATATGTCTAGTTCAGCATTTGCATTTCTCAGTCCCAATTTGTAGCATGGATTCGTCAAATGATTAAAAGTCGTCAGGGCGCCTTGGTTATGCAAACTCGCAAAGTCGTCGAAGCTTTCTTCGCTTCACTTAAATTGTCCAGCATAAATCAACCACACGCAATTCCTTAACATTCATATAAATATGCAGAATGGTATTACCGACAAAGATAAGGGAGACTGGAATGGCCATTTCTGGCGTATTAGCCGTGGTCAGCCAGTCATACCTAACCCCGAAGTGTGAAAAACCTGAGGCTTGAACCCGCGACCTGTTAGGTAGAAGTCCACGCCTCTAACCACTGATCCACGGGTCGGTTGACCTGTTGATTGCGACAGGGGTCTCATCGATAGTTTTTGCGGAACTTACTCCTCTACGGTCCGCGTTGCTGGTCCTCCAACACCGCAGACTGCAATTCTCAGCTGGATAGGAGCCCTTAAGACACAACAGAACGAGTGAGTTCCGTATGAACGATCGGTGAGCGCCCCCACCCATTGTATATTCCCGATCGAAAACCGACAGGGCAACGGGCTCGTGACTCAGTGGTTAGAGGCGGTGGACATCTAACTTGCAGGTCGCGAGTTCGAGCCTCGGGTGTTCCATACTTCGGGGTTGGGTATGACTGGCTGACGACGGCTAATAAGCCAGAACTGGCCATTCCAGTCTCCCCTGTCTTTGTCGGTAATACCATTCTG